GTCAAGGAGAGAGGCCTGGAACAGGTCCTTTCCTCACAGCCTTCAGAGGGGACCAGCCCTGGTGACACCTTGAATTTGGACTTCTAGCTCCAGAACTGTGAGGCTAAGTCAGGCACTATCTAGAGCTGAACACTCACCTGCATCACGAGCCAGCATTCCACTCCCGGGTATAGCCCACCATAAATGCACACGTGTGTTCACCACAGTACATGTACTAGAATGTTTACACAGACCATCTGAAATATCCAAAACCTGAAGAAAGCCCAAGTGCCCATCAGCCACAGAATGGGTGAATAAACTGATTCAGTGGAACACTACAGCAATGAGAACGAGCAGCCTCCAGTCTGCAATTGCACACAACAATATAAACTTCCCAAGTGTAGTAAGTGAAGGAATCTAGTCGCTGCAGAGAACATCCTGTATGATTCTATTTATGTTTCATTTTCATGTTAGAAGTTTGGGAGGCTTCTGGGTNAAAAAAAAAATCCTGTGCCCCCAACCAAAAAAGTGAGGAGTACAGATGAAATCCTATTTTCCAATAGGATTGGGAAAATGTTGATATCTGTTGAGCTGGGTGATGAGTATGTGGGGTTCATTATATCTTTCTTTCTACTTTTAAGTTTGAACGTTTCCAAAAGAGAAAGCAAAACCCTGTTGTACAACACTCACTCCAACGGCTTCTTGTAGCCCTCAGCAATACAGTCAAAACTCCTCACCTGGCCTATAAGGCCCTTTACACTGAGGCTTGTACTAGCCTCCCTGACCTCAGTTTCTACCACCCTCTCTCTCACTGGCTATGCTCCAGCCATTCAGCTCTTTTCTGGTTTCCAAATGCACCAAGTTCGTTCCTGCTGCTGCGGGGCCTTTGCATATGCTCTTCCCTCTATGAGGCAGTGCTAGATCTTACGCTCAGGCCTGGGTCCTTATTGTTACACAGGTCCTAACACAAAGTCTCCTCCTCAAAGATACCCTCTTTGATCACCTAAGTAATATCAACCCACTGGCACACCTCCCTTTATCACTCCCACTTCATCTCCTTCATAAGACTTACTACTGTCTCAAGGTATTGCTCTTTGCACGTACTCATCCACAGCATGCCCCCCGACTGGAGCATCAGCGCCATGGGAGCGTGATCTTGACTGTTTCAGTCACCGCTGTGTTCTCAGCACCCAGAACAGGACCTGCCACACAGTAGGTGCTCCACATACACATGTTAAAGAACCAAGACAGACGTTTCCTCATTTACTTGGCACATTTTATGTATAATTGAAAGCTATAACATATTATTTACAATTTTTTCCTTCTGGGAAATTTGGAGAGTTGGCAGATGCCCCTTAATTCCCCTCAATGCTATTATTATCACAAAGACCAATTTAATGTCTCAGAAAATGAAAAAACTGGGAAAAA